GGAGATGTAGCTCAGCGGCACAAGTGCCTGCATGGCAAGCGCAAGGTCCTGAGTTCAATTCCCGGTACCAAAAATAATAATAATAAGCAAGGATTGGAGTCTAGTAGCAAGTCATTCCCTGTTCAAGACTAAACAAAATGGCTTTGGGCCATGGAAATTATAGGAGATATCAGAGGATGCCCCTCTAGGGAGTTTCTCCTGGAGCATCCCAGAGGTCTTTGGAGGGAGGAAGCCCTCACGCCCTCTCTGTCCTTACTCTCGGCATTAGCCTCAGCTGGGAGAAAGACCTACTGCCCTGATAGAGGCGGGCAGACACGCCTAGGGGCAAAAGACACTGGTGAACTGTAACCCAACATCACATCAGTGACGTCAGAAGCAAACAAAGCCCGGCACGGGGCAGGTGCCTGTCGTCCCAGCTAACCCAGACACTGAGGTGGGAGGATTATTCAAACCCACAGCTGCAAGACTAGCCTGAGCAACATAGCAAAATCCTATCTCAAATAAAATAAAATAAATCCAAGAAGAAACCTAAAGTTCTGGCTCACTGCCCGCTCCAGCCCAGCCCCGGACAGAAAGGGGCAGGGGCTCAGTAAGACTCCTACCAGCTGGAAACAGCTCTCAGCTCTGAGTTTCTCTGGAGTGCTGCGGTGAGTGGTTTCTTCTTTCTCTCACTCTCTCCTTCTCTCTTTCCACTCCGCCTCCTATCTCCAGCTCTCTCTCTCCCCAACGTGTATTTGGGAAAATGACTCTGCTAATCCCAACCAGGCTGACTAACACACGCTGGCCTCAGGCCTGGCACTGTGTGGGTGTGTGCACAAGAGCTGCTGGCCCCCACAGGCTGCAGACGCCAGTCCGAGCCTTCAGCAGAGCTGCAGTACGAGGAGCAAGGAGCCAGCGTGCACCGCCTCTGTGTGTTAAGCCATCAGGTGCATGCTCTGTACCAGAGCTTCCAGAAGAAACTGACAACCCTACCTGGGAGGACACAGCGGGGGCGGGCGGGCGGTCACGCTCCAAAGGCCCGAGGAGTCCGATGTGCAGACAAGGAGCCAACACATTACTCTGCAGCACCAGACGGGTGGGGATGCCCGTGTGTGGAGAGGCCAAGAGTCCGGGCAGCAGTCTAGCCTGTCTTCCACCAAAACGTTCAGGATCTGAACTAGCATGTGCAACAGGTAAGTGTGGCCGGGCGGGGACTGACTCAGGGCTGACTGAGAGAGTGGGAGAGAGAACTGGACGGGGAAGTGTGACCTGCGCAGACTCTGTGCCCACAAAGTATAGGGATGAGACAGGGGGAAGGCCACCAAGTGCCACAGTTATTGGGATGTGGAGGAAGTACCAATCACTACACTGCCGCCTTTGGGGGAAAGAGCCCTGTGGAGGCCATACCCACAAGCACCGAGCTGCAGACCTCTCCCTGCGCAACAGCCTAAAGCTAAACAGTGTTTCAGGGGACCTCGGGACCCGGCTTGGCAGCGGCGCGAGGCAAGCAGAGCGAAGCCAGGAAGATTCTGCTTACCGCGCGGAGCTCCGCTACCCCTTGGCCAAACCGGCTGCCTTCGGCGGCTGCTGCAGGATTCCTGCCCCGCCAGAGAGAAACTTCGTACTTCAGCTCCAGTAGATCGTCTGCGACCGCTGTCCGCGGGGCCAGTCTTGGGGAGACCAAGCTCTTCAGCGGCTCCCTGGCCCGGCACGCGCAGGCAACAGGCAGGAGGCGCCTTGGCTCCGGAGTCGCAGCTCAGGATGAAAAGCCGAGCAGCAGAGGCCCTGAGCTCCGCCAGGCTTAGGACTGTGGAGGTGCAGGCCGCCCTGGGCCATGTGTCACTGCAATGCTGAAGAGAAATAGAGGTGCTGGGCCCACAGGCACTGCCTGACAGGGTCTGGACGTCCCCAGGAAGCGGGACCTTCCCAGCCTGCCTAGGGGAGCTGAGAAGGAAACCAAAGCAGCAGCATCCCGAGCGCCTGCCCCACCCACCTGGGGCTAAACCCCAGCAGCAACAAGATTCTGCTCTCCTCTAACGCTTCCCAGTGCCAGATCCCTAGCTTCACCCCCAGAGGACAGAACGACCCTGATGGCAATCAAAGCACTGCCTGTTTTCCCAGCCTTCCAATGCCTGACTGCCAAGTGAACACACAATGTGAGACAGGCTAATTCCAGCCCCTGCTAGGGTGCTGGCTGGAGGCTCCCTGTCTCATCTGAGTTGGAAGTTCTGTTCCTAGACAGGACAGCCAGAAATCAATACCTGGTAGAGCAGGACTCCTCTTCTTGCCACTCAGAAAATCCTTCAGAAGGATTCTTTTCTTTGCCCCACCCCCTCCGCACGCACACAAACTCCTTAAAGGCTGAAAAGGGAGCCGAGTGTGGAATTTGGGGAAGTGATGACACACACAACAATGCTGTTACACCTGGCTGCTGCGGAGCTGAGCAGCGGAAATGCCACGGAGGCGGGGAGGGGAGATAGAGAGCCGGCCTGGGTGGCCAGGAAAAAAGAGGGAGAAGAGAGAGCAGCCCCCACCAGGATGGGGCCAGACCCAGCTGTTTTTCCCCGCTCGGGCCAGAGGAGCCAATCTGCTGCAGCCCAAACCTGCTGACCACTCCTACCCATAGCCTGGACACAGATGGGAGAGAGGAAGAAGAAAAACACCTGCACTCCTGCTCAGAAAGCAACCACAGGGATTTGGGAGAAATGCTGCTGCCTGCCTGTGGAGGCTGGGGGCAGTGGAGGGGGAACAAGCCTCCTTGGGATGTTTTCAATAAGGGGTGGAGGCCAGGACCTAGTGAGGAGAGTTCAGAAGAGCCTAGCTCCCTCTCGCCCTGGCCCTGGCAGTCAGGCCAGGGGGGCCCTGCTGACCTCTCTGCACCCCAGCACCCTGTCCTCCCTTCCTTCATCTCGGAATGTAGATCAGAGGCACATTCAGAGAAGCAAGCAGACAGCACGTGGCAGTGACCTATGGATGCTGGCGCCACAGGCTACTGGGGGCTCCTCAGGCTTCCCAGGAACTCTCAGAGACTGGGCAGCCTGGGAGGAAGAGTACTGACAGGCATTGGGCTGGCCACTCCAGACATGCCAATCACTAATGCACACTGCATGGCGTGAGTCCGGACCACCTTCCTCCACAAAGCATCCCAGCCACCTCCTCAGCACCCATGAGTTTGGGGCTTGAGGATTCAAAACACCACTTTATGACTGCAAACTTTTTATGAAGGCTAAGTGATGACACATCCTGTAATCCCAGCACTTGGGAGGCTGAGGCAGGAGGATTGTTGCCAGTTCAAGGCCAGCCTGGGCTACAAAGTGAGCTCAAGGCCAGCCTGAACTGCATAGTGAGACCCTGTCTCAAAAAAAAAAAAAAAAAAAAAAAAACTAATTGAAAAAGCTTATGGTCAGAAGGCACACCTGACTTGGATGCCAGCACAGATCTCCTCAGACAATCTCTGTAGTACGCTGATGTAAAGAGGTCCCAAACAGACTTCTGCTGAAGGTAGATCAGATCTCACGCCTGAACCTTTGGAGAAAGATCAGAACAAATGTCTCATCAGGAGGGAGATCTGAACAAGTGCTTCCTGCAGCCTGCTGTCTGTCTTCCAAATCTATGACAGAATTATATACACTGAGCAGGAAAACGGCAGAGATGAACAGTGAAAAATTTAAAAAAGAAGAAAAGGAAAGGGAAGGAAAGACAGACAATGAAACTACACTTAACCCTGATGCACATATATACCCATAAGTATAAATGTGTGGTACCTCATAAACGTAGATCTCACAGCTTGCACATGTGCATACCTGTGTTTCTGACCAACACACTTGCACCTGGACAGCTGGCATGTCACACATCGCAAGGACAGCTCCTCCCCGTGCCTTCCATATGTAACACCTGTGCACACACATAGAGTCCCCAAAGCCCGCCAGTATCCTAATCTACGTCGGTGCAGGAGCAAAGGGGCGCCTAGTTGGTATTGTTAGAGCACATACCCAACTGGGAGGACTACCACGCGGATTCCGCTGAGGATCTGGCTCAGAGGCGCTTTAAGCGGCGACCTCGGGCGCCTCCTCCCAGCGACCCTCTCCCGGGCCCCATTCCGGCCCAGTCACTCCCAGAGCGCGAGGCACAGGCAGACCGAGATTTCTTTCTCTAATGACACGCGTGTCCGGGCTACTTTTCTCCAAGCCACCGCGAAGCTCTCTCCACACCACTCCAGTGAGGCCCCTCACCCTCTCGCCCCTCCTCCGGTCCCAAGCTAGAAGTTCAGCCGCAGGACCTGAGCAAAGGGCAGAGCAAAAGAGTCGTTTTCTTTCACCTGAAAGCTGTGAGGAGGCTTGCAGGGCCTCTCCTAGCTGGGGCCCGAGCTCCGGGGCACTGGGCCGGCACAGGCGGCCCCCTCCGCGGCCCTCGGCATCTCCCGGCCCAGTCCGCAGAGCAAGCACCCGCAGATTCCAAGGGCTCGAGAGAGCGCGAGCACGGCTGTCTGCTGGGCCCCCGAGGCTCGCCGAGCGGGGGCAGACCGGTCCGGGCTGTGCGGGGCGTTTACAAAAAGTGACTTGGAGATGAACTCGCCCGTGCGCGGCTGGCGGCCCCGCTATAGGGGCGAAGGCGCCTGACGCAAGCGGAACTCGGCGGAGCCCATACGAATCAGAACAGAGCGAGGCTCCTGGCGCACTAGGGACTCCAGGAGGCAGCTCCGCCAGAGGCGCGGGTCGTGGCTCGGGAAACCGGGGTGGGGGAGGGGAGGCGCAGACAAGAAAACCCACCGAGGCGGGGACTGGCCTGGCGGGGAGGGGCGGCGGGGCCGGAGCCCCTCCGTTGGGCAGACTCCCCATGGCCAGAGGCTGAGTCCCACTCCCGCCAGCCGCTCCCTAGGGGAAGAGAAAGAAGAGCGCGAGCAGCCGAGGCCTCCGGCGAGCAGCATCCGCAGTCTCCAGAAGTTTGAGGCTCGGCCGCGGGAGGACTCGTGCGCCCCGACTCCGCGCGGCCGCGCCCGGAGAGGGGAGCGGGGTGGCCGGGCCGCGGCGCGGCGCCTTTGTCATGATGGCCAGCTACCCCGAGCCCGAGGACGCCGCAGGGGCCCTGCTGGCCCCGGACACGGGCCGCGCAGTCAAGGAGCCCGAGGCGCCGCCGCCAAGTCCGGGCAAGGGCGGCGGAGGGCCGGCCTCGGAGAAGCCCGACCCGGCGCAGAAGCCCCCGTACTCGTACGTGGCGCTCATCGCCATGGCGATCCGCGAGAGCGCGGAGAAGAGGCTCACGCTCTCCGGCATCTACCAGTACATCATCGCCAAGTTCCCGTTCTACGAGAAGAACAAGAAGGGCTGGCAGAACAGCATCCGGCACAACCTCAGCCTCAACGAGTGCTTCATCAAGGTGCCGCGCGAGGGCGGCGGCGAGCGCAAGGGCAACTACTGGACGCTGGACCCGGCCTGCGAGGACATGTTCGAGAAGGGCAACTACCGGCGCCGCCGCCGCATGAAGCGCCCCTTCCGCCCGCCGCCCGCGCACTTCCAGCCCGGCAAGGGGCTCT